TTTAAAGAGTAATGGGACTCATGACTATGAGTAGAAAGTATAAACTCAGTGGATGAAAAATGCTCTGCGTGGGTGGCTGCTCTTTTAAAAGTAGCTCACGCAGATTTAAATTGTACTATATGAAAAAAAGATGTTCAGGGATTGTGGATGACTTCAAAAATTTAGTCTTTTTATGGACTTAAAGCAATAAAGGATATTTTAACTTTTTTATACTTTATTTTGTGACAGATAGACAGCAAGTGGGGGAGGTGAAATCAAGAGTTGGATGCTTAACTGACTGAGGCACCCGGGGGCCCCAAAAGATACTTTAAAATAACTCACCTGCAATTCCAAATCACTCTACTGTGGGGGGTACCTGGCTGGCCCCGTGGGTAGAGCATACGACTCTTGATCTCAGGGTCATGGGTTCAAGCCCCACGTTGGACACAGAGCTTACATAAACAACAACATCAAATCGCTCTACTGGGTTCCCTTAGCCTCCAGCCCACGGGTGTTTTACTGTGGACTGACCAAATGGGTGTGTGTTCAGTGAATCTCGCCCCCTGGACCTCAGGTTACCAGCTGCCTCGCGGATAGCCGGGTGCATGAAGTACTTCCGTGCATGCTGCACAGGCAGGATTCTTCTACTTTTCAAATAAACAACAGCGTTTCTAAAAATACGAATTCCCTTGGAGAGCCCAGCACAAGCACTTGAAGGTCTGCAAGGGGTACTTTGTTGAAAGGCAGCCTTTGTTCTGATTTCCCCGAACTCACAACTGGAAAGGTTGCCCGCCCGCCACAGTGCACCCCCAGGCTTGGTTGGATTCACACGGTCACGGTCAGCACCCCACGGCAGTGGGTCACGCAGGGGCTTGACCGGACACGGAGACCCACGTTCTAACCTAGGTTCACGAGGAAGGGCAGTAGCCGCATCTCTGGGACTGTCCCCTCGCTCTTAAAACGAGATCTGACGTCATCCCTGCTTCTAACATCCTGATTCTAAGCCTTTAAACTTGACACTGGAACGAACAGCAAATGCGGTTCTTCAAAAGCTGCCGTTCGCTCTCTGGATCCTCGTGCAGCTCTCACCTGTGACATCGGAGAACGAAGACTCCATTTTATCTGAGGCCAGCCTGCTGCAAAGTGACCCACACAAATGTCCTGTGGCCTAAAGCAGACCAGCTTCTCTCACGTCTGGCATGTTAGACATTTGGTATTTTCTTTGTCACATGAGACCAGTCCTTCAGCGAAGCCCCTCACCTTCTTGACAAGGTTCCTAGGAAAGTCATTCCACCTTGGCGCTTACAGAAACTCAGTCCTGTGGCTATTTCTTCTCTACCGGATACTGGAGAATGGCCAGGTGCCAGC